TGCCCTCCGCAGCCCCCCGGCTCGGCCCCGAGGCCCGGCCCGGCCCGCCGCTCCCACCGAGCGCTCCCGGGGGATCCATTTAAAAAGCCAGCCGGGCGGCCGCCGGAGCGGGAATCCCCCGGCGCGGCCTGCCATTGGCCGGCGCGGCCGTGACGTCAGCGCCCGGGAGGGCTTCCCCGACGCGAGCCCGGCGCCGGCGGCGCTCACGGCCCCGCCCCCGCGGCCCGCACGCAGGCACGCCGGCACGTACGCATGCGCGCGCGCTCGCCCCGGCGCCGCCGCCCGGCTGAGGCGCGCCGGGGAGCGCCAAGCTTCGCCCGGGAGCGCCAAGCTTTGCCCGCGGCCTGTGGCGCGCCTCTCAGCCCCGCGGGCCGGGTCCCCCGCTGGAGGCTGGCGGCTTGGCGCGCCGAGGCGCGGGTCCTGGGAGCTTTACGTTCTTTGCTTTGCCACTCCAACGGTTCCCGACCCCCCGTAAGGGGGCTCGCCAGGAACGGTCCCCAGGCGGGGTGGTCCTCGGCTCGGCACCTGCCGCAGGCCCAGGACATCGGGGAGAGGGGGCGCCGACAGAGCCAGACGGGCCGCCGGCGCAGGTGCCAGGAGAGGCGGCCTCGCCAGATGGCCCGGGGAAAACCGTCTGGCGGCCTCATTGCCGCCCCCGGATGACCGCGGATCGCATGCTGCTCTGAGGCGAGATACGGATTTATACCTTTTTTCTGGGGAGGATTAATAGATACCCAGAAAGAGTCAATGATTTTTTTTTTTAAATGTGAAAACTCAGTCCTGTTCTGCCTCATACTGACAGCGTCAAACTCAGGCCCATTCTTAGGCCAGTACTGTGCACGCAGGCAAAGGTCCAGGGATGCCACACACATCTTCAAACAGTACTTACCAAAATGGCTGACCAAGAACTCAGATCCAAAGATCTCTGTTTCAGCCACAAGAACTCGACCTACGTACCTCGCAGTGCAGAGGAGCATCATTCCGGCTTCCAGAAAATCTCTTCAGCAAACAGTAAGGTCAAATAAAGCGAACTATCATTGGATGAGGCTTAGAGGCCTTGTTAGGCGGTCAGCTTTGCAAACGCCAACTAGAATCTAAAATACAGCACAAACACTATGACTTTTTATCTTTGTTCTGCTTTTAGATGTACATTTACCCACAGAATTAAATCAATGAAAGTTAAAGTCCATACAAATTGGTGTTTTTATCGTAACTAAAAATACAAACCATCTAAAATGCTGTTACTTATATAATAACTCTAAATTCCATTTTTGCCACTGGTTCCACGGCGTGTAAACAGTGTGAGACTGTCTCGTGTAAAGAGAGTATTAGGTCAATAGCTCCCTTTAGAAAGTTATTGAGGAGGCTGGCACTTTGGCACAGCAGGTGCCTGCATCACAATGCCTGGGTTCAAGTACATAGCATCCCTTCTGCTTCTGATCCAGCTTCCTGCTAGTGTGCCTGGGAGGCAGCACATGAGGCCACCCCCCCACACACACACACACACAGGTGTGGCTGGAACCCCCCAGGTGAGAGAGCCAGGTTCCCTTGCAGGCTCCTGGTTTGGGCCTGGCCGGCCCCCAGCTACTGTAGGGATTTGGTAAGCCCAACAGCAAACAGAAGATCTCTCACTCCCTCTCTTTTCTCTATCCCTCTGCTTTTCAAACAATTTTTTAATGTTATTGTGTGCTTAGATATTCAGCTTAAAATTTAACATCAAAACAGTACAAGCAGGAAGAGGAGCATTTTTGATAACCACCCAGGGCACCACTGCCACAGCCAAGAATCTTTAGTTCTTAAGTCACTATGACTACGATCGAGATACTGGTCCTCTCTGATTAAACACAGGCCAACCATAGCTTTCCACCAGTCAGACCTGGCAATAACCACCTTCACCAAATGACCCAAGTGCACGTCACCATTAACGAGACATTCAAACGCGCATGCCTCCTAATACTAATGCCATGAGCACAACCCAACCTTGCTTCTGTGGGATTCTTGCCTAAAATGCACTAGACAAACCCAAACAGTCTTGGTTCAGATACACTGGCCACTAAAGCAGCATGGCCTTGAAAAAGACTAAGAGACCACCACACAGTTTTGAACGGTCTTAACATTGGGGGGAGGTGGGTGAAAGATAGGGTATATACTTTGTACAGTTTGTCAACTTTTTCCCCCCCAAAACCCTTGTAACATCAGGTAGTCATTATCATTAAAGCATCCCGGCACCATGGTTTCAGGCGGCGGGGGAGCAGTAGGGAAACAAGAATCAAGCATTGTATCCCCATATTTTTCAGGGAAATTTGAGGGACAATAAGACCCTGTGTCTTGGGGGGTGATCCGCTATCCTCCAAAGGGGTTTTACAGGAGGTGGGTGGTGAGCGGCCATGAGACAGGCCCGGAAGACAACTCCTAGGCCAATTTGAGTCCCAAGGAGGTGGCCAGGAGGGATAGCCGGGGCTGTAAGGGTCTAAGCAGGTCTCTTACATTTCTGTTCCCCCTGGAAGTCGGGCAGGCCTCTGTTTACGCTTTTACATACACACCACGCATTCGCCAGCAGCCTTTCCACCATCAAGGCGCGCTCGCTGCACCTGCCGCTGGGCAACCTGGCGTTTTCCACTTCACTGGGTTCAATTGCTTTTCCAGAAATGCAGAAAGATGACCCCTCCACCCCCTCCCTAACGCCAACGGTCCGTGGGTTCTCGCGCCCCAAGGGCCCGCCCGCGCGTCCCCTCCCGCCGCTGCCCGTGGCCCCCGCCACCGCTCCCGCGCCCGCCGCCGCTCGCGCGCCCCCTGCGCGCGCGCGCCAGCCCTGCCCGCCCCCGCGCGCGCCTACTGGACACAAAGGACGGTTGGTGCTGGCTTCAACGGTCCCCGGGACACCTGTCCCGCCGGTGGGGGTGGGGAAGCGGGAAGAAGGGCAGGAAATCTGGGGTTCGCTGTTCCCCGCGTCAGGCAGCGCAGAAAGCTGGGAGCGATTGACTGCTCGGAGATCTGGACCCTTAGAACATTTGCCGAGGTTGTGCAAGCCTGGAAAAAAGGCAATAAAGAATTCCCTCGCTTTGCTTACATGGCTTACTATTTTTTTTTCCCATTGTAAATAATGCCTAGGCTTATTTTTCTACCGCAGCCCAATTCATTAAAAAAAAGAAAGAAAGCCACAGGGGTCTTTTAAAATCTGTTTTTCCATAGCACAGTGAGTGGAGAGTCAAATTTGCCCAGTTTTAAAGCCTGAAAACCAAGTTGGATCACCCCAGGTACTTTCTTTGATATATGTGTGTATATATTTTTTTATTTCCTGAGGGTAGTTCTTGCACTTGAGAATTATCTGGATAATGTAGTTCCCCCACCCCAAGATAATGTAAGGAAAATAAGCCCCAACTCTATACCGACAGAATAGAATGAAAGAAGACATATGACAGTGATACAGCCCTCAAGGGCTCCTAAGCGCTCTAGACTTGGAAACTCTGTCTTCAGGAATATCCTCCCAGGACTTTACGTGCAGCATGAACCAAAACAGAACTGCGAATCTTTCCTAGTTCCCGTTCTGCCCAAGCAACCCTGTCCTCCTGGTGCAAAGGGTTTGGCAAATAGGCAGTTTGGTCAGCTAACTGCACTGCATTTTTGCTTTGTGATTTTCTTTTTTTTTTTTTTTAAGATTTAGTTTTATTATTTTTTTATTGGAAAGGCAGATATACAGAGAGGAGAGACAGAGAGGAAGATCTTCCGTCCGATGATTCACTCCCCAAGTGAGCGCAATGGGTCGATACTATGCCAATCCGAAGCCAGGAGCCTCTTCCGGGTCTCCCACGCGGGTGCAGGTTCCCAAAGCTTTGGGCCGTCCTCGACTGCTTTCCCAGGCCACAGGCAGGGAGCTGGAAGGGAAGAGGGGCTGCCGGGATTAGAACCGGCACCCATATGGGATCCCGGGCGTGCAAGGCGAGGACCTTTAACCACTTGCGCCACCGCGCCGGGCCCGTGATTTTCTTTTTAATATTTATTTTTATTGGAAAAGTAGATCAGATTTACAGAGAGAAGGAGACAGAAAAATCCTCCATCTGCTGCCAGGATCTGGAGACAGGAGCTGTTCTTTTGAATCTCTCATGCAGATGCAGGGTCCCAAGGCTTTGGGTCATTCTCTACTTCCCAGGCTGCAAAGAGGGAGCTGGATGGGAAGTGGAGCAGCCGGGATACGGACATGGGATCTCAGGACTTGCGAGGTGAGGATTTAAACATCGAACCATAGTGCCATGCCCCGCACTGAATTTTAAAGTAATCAGGCTAAGCATGACTATAATCCTTGGCTTCTGATTTATTATTGTGCTCTTCCCCTGATTGGGTAAATAGGTCTGGTTTCTAGAAAGGGGCCAATCAGTGGAAAGCAACTTTGTATACAAAAAGGGCAGGTTTCCATTCTCCCAGTAGTAACTGGCAGCTCCTCCCTTGATTGGGAGCTTTCTCACTTTCAATAAATCTCCACTTTGTTCACTGTCCCTGTCCGTGGGGAAGTTCTTCAGTGGGAGACAAGAACCAAGATATCCTTCGTGGTTCCACCACAGTGATGTGGACCCAGGTGCCAATGTCACTGTCTTCCAATGAGCAGTCAGCCTTCTTTAACTCTCTGCCTTTCCCTCGTGCCCAAAGACAGCTACCAACAGCAGTCCTTTGTCCCCTGAGCAATGATGACTGCATCTCCCCTTTCTGGAGTGATAACAGCAGCCAAGCTGATGAGACCACCTCCAGGCTGTGCCCTCTCCTGTGTATTGAACATATTCACACTTGGACCCAGCAAGTGTCACACACACTACGCAAAGCAATGAGATCTAGTATCAAAGCTTATGTATCTATAACTATTACCTTAAGCTATCGTATTTCTTCTCTGCCCAAAAATCTCTGGAAGGACCTTCTTTACACAGAGATTTAAGTTCCAAGCTCCCGGGCCCTGTCATTTCTCTCTGCTTTATTTATTTGTTTATTTGTTTATTTGTTTATTTATTTGTCAGCAGAGAAGCACTTTAATGAACAGTGGCTTCAAGCCACCAGGACACAGGCTCCCCCAATGTCCTTAATCTTCTTCTCTTCAGCTTTTCTACTGAAGAATTTGGCTTTGACAATGACCGGGAACTTTGAGAGCTTTCCTTTTCCCAGAACTTTCTAGTAGCCCAACCTCACCACATCAATGATGGGGGCAGCGCTCGTTTTGTTCTTGGCAGCGTTCACCCAGGTCTGCTCACTGACCAGCGTCCACAGCTTATCCAGGTTGACATTTGGGCAGAAGCTCTGGTTCCAGTTCAAGTGGTAATGCCTTTTACCAACTTTCCCCAAGTAACCTGAGTGATATTTGTCAAAGTTGATCCTGTGGTGATGCATGCCACCAGCATCTCTCTGGCCTCCCGGGTGCTTCCAGTACTTGCCGATGCGGTCATGGCCAGGGCTCACGTGGCCGCACAGTTTCCGCGTCTTCCTCAGTCTGCATGGCACATCGGCTGCCATGCAGAGGAAAGCCACCAGGACAGAGGCTCTGCCCTGCTTGCATCACCTCCCTTTATGATGTCATGGCTGTCCATCCCTCCTCTCCTGTCAAGCCTGTGCTAGGTTGTGCCATTCTGGGATTGTCCCTATCTTCGAGCAAAACTGTACCATTCAAACGCCAGGTTACCTTTCCCAAACTGCCTTTGCAAATCACACTGCTTAGAATCTTTTTTTTCCCGTGTTCCTATAGAATAGACCTGTGGTTTGTGTTTGGCTCCATATTTTACATACATTATCCACTATGTAGATCGGCTCCAACCACACAAGGTTCTTGACTTTTTCATCTTTGAATCCTCTTCAGAGATTGGCTCAGTGTTTTGCTCAGAGTAAGCTTTGAACTTGATTGGTGCTTTGTAGATTAAGACTTTTCTCAAATCATGGACCGGAATTAAAGTCACAAAAGAGCTTAACACAGCTATGCTTGGAATGTGAGAAACTCAGTTTTAAGATATGTAGGAGTTAAATGTCATAATGGAAAGTAAAGTTCTAGGCCTGCTACTTCTGGCTGTGTAACTTGGAATGTAGCTTTTTCTTTTCCCCTTCAACTGTCAAACGAGGTCATTATCTATCATACAGTTAGGATAAAGGTCAAGAGGGAAAATATAAAATTTCTGAAAGTGTAAATTTCTTTCTTGGAAATGAAGGTATGAGACTTAAATGACGAACAACAATATTTGGATAATAAATGTGCCTTTATAAAGCATCGGTCCAGAAGACGGTATGCTCCAGTGCACAGCCTGCATAGAGTAGAGCACCTGTCACATGGCAGCTGCTCAGTCAATGCTGTGAGTGAAGTCTAAGCTTCCAACACAGTTGTTGAAATAGGTATATACTCAATCAAGAGGCTTCCAGGAGGTAGATGGCTGTGTCACTAGGGAGGGCACATTCCACGTAAATGTGTTGTAACTCTGGACTCACCAAGCTCCAGCCCTTTGTTTTTTAAATGAAGCCGAAAAAATTCATCCTTGAAAAAGTGCTTCTACTCTAAACAGCTACGCATCTCTGTAAGTACACTGGGTTCTGGCTAACCCTCCAGATTTGTACTTGGTTCGGTTCAAGTCAAATTCCTGAGCAAGCCAGCCTGTGGTACCATCTTTCTTTCAATCATGCAATAGAGAAAAATACCCCTTCTCCTCAGAAAATGTTTTCCAGGAACTTGACAGTTTTTTTCCTGAGTCATAGTTGTTGTAGTCGAACCCCTGTGTTTCCTTATCTCAAACCTCCCCTTCCTGCTGGTTCCTCCAGTGTGCATTTAGATGTGTTCACACACCCAGCTAGCCTTCAGTCACCCGGCTTCTCCAAAGATTTGGTTCCACTCGCAGTCTCAACTTGGAACCTCCACTTCACGCCTCCAGCCACTCACCATCACGGCATTTCCCCCTCACTACAGCTAATGGGCTTCATTTCATCCATTTGGTGAAAGCAAACAATATTTAAGGTTATTCACCACTCTTTCCTGCTTGTTTTTCCCATTTCTTAAAAGTCAACATTACATGGTCTTGGTTGTCCTCAATAATTACAATTACTCATTCTTATTAAACTGTTAAAATGTTTAAACTCTCTCACTGGAAGGTTGGCAAATCAGACTTAGGAGTCAGTTTGGGGGCAAAGGGAAATCTGATTTGAGTCAGTTTCTGTGGTGCAAATGCACCACCATGGCTGATTTCCAGCCACCAGCACAGCACCACGGAAAGCAGTCAGGAAAAGGGGCTGCTGAGATGCTTCCAACCAGCTCCAGGCCACCACTGGAGGGCGTCCTCTAACCCTGTAACCTGCTCCATGGCGTCATGTCCCATTCCCCATCCAGACCTGGATGCTTCCTGAGACACCTCAACCTACCATCCAAACTGACTTCATAATCTTATTCCAAACTTGGTTCCTTTCAATATTCAGTAATTCTGTGACCGTGCCATTGTCTGTCTAGTTCCACTAGACAGAAATGGAGGGTTCTGGGGTGAGGATGCAACTCAGTTGTTAAGCCACCACTTGTCATGGCAACATCCTATGTCAGAGCGCCAGTTCAAGTCCTGTCTGCTCCACTTCCAATCCAGTTCTCAGCTAATGCTTCCGACAAAGCAGAGGGAGATGGCCCAGGTACTTGGGTCCAGGTGCCCACCGTCCTTGTGAGAGACCCGATTGGACATCTCATCTTCTGCCTTGAGCCTATCTCAGCCCCAGCCATTGCAGCCATTTGGGAAATAAACCAGGGGATGGAGGCTTTCTCTCCCACCCCTTCTCTGCCCAGTCACTCTTTCATATATACATACATATATTTATACACATACTCATATATATGGTTTTTTTTTTTTGAAAAAAGATTTTCTTAAAAGAATTTAGGATTTGTTCTTGACACCTCATCCCCTCTCTGTGTCCAATCCATTACAATGTCCAATGAACCGGTGCCTATATGGAATCCTGGTGCATGCAAGGCAAGACTTTAGCAACTAGGCTACTGCACCAGGCCCCGGGTTTGAGTCTTGACTCTACTTCAGATCCCACCTGCCTGCTAAAGCATCATTTAAGAAGCAACAAGTGATGTCTCAAGCGCTTGTCTCCCCACTCCCCACCTGACAGACCTGGACTGAGTTTCAGGCTTGTAGCTTGGGTCTTGCTTAGTCCTGGTTGGTATTTGAGCAGTGAGCCGGGGGCGGGGGGGAATCTTCGTTTGAAACACATAAAAACAGATTCAAAGTTTTAGTGAGCAGCACCGTTCCATCCCTTCTGTAGTATCTATGTGAGAGCAGGGACACAGACAAGGAGGATAAAAGGACTCAGGCTTTGCAAAGGCAATGTAATGGGAGGCCCTGGGACTGAAACCCAAGGGCTCAAGCATCTGCAGAATAGGATAGGAGTCCACGCTCTGAGGTGCTGTGTCCAAGTGTGTGAGGCTCTTCCTTTAGGCAAGCCCGCACCACGAAGTCATAAAGAGATGCCCCCAAATATGGTCATGACTTCTCGCCCCACATCAGCCACAGCTACCTGCCCATGTCCACTGTGTTCTCACATCCGTGGTGTTTTTACTTTGTTAAACAATAGAGCTCCAGGGACGTCCTTTAAGAATAAATCATGTCACTCCCCTGCTTAAGTCCTTCTGTGACTCTGTAAGGATCAGCATCTTTCACCAGGTCTTCCGTTCCTCTATGACAGGCCCCTAGCCCACCTTCTTTCAGCCTTTCTGGGATGGTGGGCTCCTGTACTCTGATGTTCAGTGATCTTTCCTTTACCTAAAGGGGTGATACTCTTTACCTTGGAAACTTTGTGTGTTCTTATTAAACTGTACCTCCCTTTATCTCTCCCCCTGTCCTAGAGCTCAGGTCCAACATCACTTTCTTCCTTGCTCCTTGAGACCGTATTCCACACCTCCCAACCGAGTCAGCTCCTTCTGATTCGGATTGGTCATGAGTTGCCCCATGCCAGATGAACTCATAAACATTATAAAACTCAGCCACAATAGTTCTTAGACAATACACTCAACTTCTTTTGGCCTCATTTTGTCTTAACTGCAGAACTGAAAGTTTTAAACTAAAGTCTCTCTCTTCTGTTGTTCTGACTTCTGTGATCGCGGTGAGACACTGGTCCAGAAGGTAGCACAGCGTAGTATAGTATATAATCATATTAGTTCCAGTAGCTGCTCTTCTAATTACTAGACTCAACATCTTAGGTAATAAATCTCTCATTTTCAATTTCCAGGTGGAAACAGGAGAAATGATGGAACTTTACCCAAAGGTTTTCTTATGAGCATCTAGTACCATACCAGACGCATAGTACAGGCTCCGTGTGAATCTGCTGACTGTTGCTCCCTGTGTGATGTGCCTGCCTTAATGCCTAAGGACCCAATAGAAATATAATATACAAGCCATGCACATAATGTGGAACCTTCTAGTAGCCACTGCAAGAAAAGTAAGACTGCAACTGAATTTAAATAACATTTTATTTAAATGAATATATTAGTATCTTTTGCTAGGTCCTCAAAAATCTTTTGTGTACGTTATATGATTATAGCACAATCTAGTTCATATGATTCTCATTTTAAGTACCCAATGGTCACATCTGGTTGGTGCCTACATGTTATAGGACAACAGAATCTTATAGAGTTCAAATGACTCTCCGCTTACTCCTTCCCTAGGTTGCTTGAAATGATCTACACTGACGGCCTCAACCAGCTGTTCATTCTCTGGGCACCATTTCAAATACTAAAAGTAAGTGAGTAATGGTTTATTCAAATTTTTTGGCTGATAAAATAGAAAATATTTCTTAACCGATTTGCTAAAAGACCATGTACTTAAAAGAGACCATTCGATCTCTTGGAGACATAGTTTCCATAATCCATATATGGTAATATAAGAAGGATGTTCCAAAAGAAAATAAATTGGAAGTCATACATATTTAATTCCTTTTTTTAGTTCCTTTAAAAAGTTGTTCTTTGTGGTTTTTTTTGTTTGTTTGTTTGTTTGTTTTACTTGAAAAGTAGAGTTACAGAGAGAGAAGGAGAGAGGGAAAGACCAAGAGCTTCTGTTTACTGGTTTACATGCCACATGGTCACAAAGGGCTGGGATTGGTCAGCCTGACGCCAGGAGCCAGGAGCTTGATCCAGCTCTTCCAAGTGAGTGCAAAAGCCCAAGGACTCTGACCATCTTCCTCTGCATTCCTAGGCATATCAGCAAGGAGCCGAATCAGACATCCAGTAACCAGGACACAAATCAGTGCGCCTAGGGGCTGTCAGTGTCACAGGTAGGAGCTTAACCCATTACGCCATGGGGCCAGCCCGTTATTTCCTTTCTTAAATACTTTTTTTAAAATTATGTGAGAGGCAGAGAGAGAGAGAGAGAGAGATGGAGACAAAGCAAAGTACAGAACCCAGGTATTGCAATATAGGACACAGATACATTTTTTTAAAGATTTATTGATTTTATTTTTTTTAAGATTTATTTATTTATTGGAAAGTCAGATATACAGAAAGG